ATTAGGCTGCTTATAGGATGGTTATCTGCAGAGCCAGATGTGACTCAAAAGACTGCAGCACCAACATTCCTTGTACACAGATGGTGACTATCAGAGTTATAACAACTATAATTATTTTATTGTTCTTACATTGTACCAGCTCTCCACACATTAAAAGACAAACTTTAAAGCTAAAATATTAGAACCACAGGCATGTATCACCACACCTGGCTAATTTTTCTCTTTTTTTCTTTTTTTTTAATTGAGATGGAGTCTCGCTCTGTTGCCCAGGCTAGAGTACAGTGATGTGATCTCAGCTCACTGCAACCTCTACCTCCTGGGGTTCAAGCTATTCTCCTGCCTCAGCCTCCCACGTAACTGGAACTACAAGCATGTGCCACCACGCCAGGCTAATTTTTGTAATTTTAGTAGAGACATGGTTTTGCTATGTTAGCCAGGTTGGTCTTGAACTCCTAACCTCAAGTGATCACCCACCTTAGCCTCCCAAAGTACTGTGATTACAGGCGTGAGCCACCACACTCGGCCTGATTTTTTTTTTTTTTTTTTTTTTGAGACAAAGTCTCCCTGTGTCTCCCAGGCCGGAGTGCAGTGGCGCGATCTTGGCTCACTGTAACCTCTGCCTCCCGGGGTTCAAGGGATTCTCCTGCATCAGCCTCCCAAGTAGCTGGGACTTCAGACACCTGCCACCATACCTGGCTAATTTTTTTATTTTTAGTAAAGGTTGGGTTTCACCACGTTGGCCAGGCTGGTCTCGAACTCCTGACCTCAAATGATCCACCCACTTCGGCCTCCCAAAACGCTGGGATTACAGGTGTGAACCACTGCACCCAGCCTTTTTTATTATTATTATTATTTGTAGAGATGGTGTCTCCCTATGTTGTTCAGGCTGGTCTCAAACTCCTGAGCTCAAGTGATCCTCCAGCCTCAGCCCCTTAAAGTGCCAGGAGGCATGGGCCACCCATTACAGACGTGAGCCACTATGCTCAGCTGGGTTTTCTTATTTGTACTCTTTAGAGACAGGGTCTTGCTATGTTGTCCAGACTGGAATGCAGTGGCTACTCACAGGCACGATCATAGTGCAACCACAGTCTTGAACTTCTGAACTCAAGCAATTCTCTTGCCTCAGCCTCCTGAGTAGCGGGGACTACAGGCACATTGCCACCATGTCTGACTAAAATATTAAGTTTTGACACCAGTGTGAGAAGGAACACGGAGAAAAATTTAAATAAGGATGATTATTTAAATGACAGCTGAAAAAAATATATTCTGAAAAAGGCAGATGAGCTCACACCACTGGGCCACCCTCTCGTATTCTCTGGATAACTGAAAAATAAAAATGTCAGCAGAGAGTACAGTTGAGTGGGAATTTCCTATAAAATTAGCTTTCAGTCAAATAAAGCATACTGAAAATGTTCAATTGACTTGTCTTTTAAAAAATACATTTTAATTTCAGGACACTCATTTGGGAAATCAGAAGATTTCCTAACTATATCACAAAAGATATGCCATTGCTATTTAACTGCTCCAAAAGATGTCCATAGGAAGGTTTGTCAGGCAAGTGACAGATGCTGAATAAAGTGAGATAATGAAAAGGTTTCCATGGCAGAAGCATCTGAGGAAAGATGGTATAAAAATATAGCAAAATTGTAAGTATTATTAGAAGTGATCCATGGTAGTAACGATGGTGACTAACTGATAACAAGAATAGAAAAATTAGAGGCAAGGAGGGTGAGTGGCAACGCTAGAGGTGACTATACCCAGATCGAGGAGCATTATTCAAGGTTCAGCCAGCCCAGTGGATGGTAACTGAGTTCCCAATCTCATCAGTTGGTCTGGGCTATAAACCACAGCCCCATTAAGCTATAAATGACAGAAATTCCTGCCAAGGCAAGAGCTGGCAGAATGCTTATTCACCCAGCTCTGCCAACTAAGACTCTATTGGTGTGGCCAATCAGGACATTTTGTCAGGTACACCAGCTACAAATTCCCACATTCAAGGATCTGAGACTTTCCTTTTATCCCAGTAATTACTAGAAAACATGTGCTCTCTACCAAGGAAGTTCTCACAAAGCCTATATGGAATTAGTTAATAGTTAAGTGCCACTCACTATATGGAATTAGGTAATTAGTGAATTAGGTGCATTTGCTATAGTTCTAGAAAAGACTCTGGAGTGCCACTAGAGGACCATGTCTCTTGTACACTGTGACAGATGTTTGCTGAACAAATGACAGGGTGAGTGAGCAGAGTCTGTAATACATATGGATAATTTTTGAAATTGGGGGATTTAAAAACTATATCGAAGCTGATAATGAGATGTGAGTTCATCTGAAAGGAGAAGAAAAATGGGTGCAAATCCTTAAGCTTTCAAAAATGCACATTTTCAATTCCCAAATGAGACTGTAAAATCATTCAAGATTGGGGTCTGGTTCTTCTATCCCAAAATAAAACAAATATGCATTAAAAATATCATTTTAAGCGGCAAAGGTGATTAACAGTGAGGAGGAGAGATAAGACAGTCATAGCCATTCAGCTTAATTTAACAAGTATTTGAGTTCCTATAACATACTTAACAAGTGAAAAAAATTAAATGTATGCAAATGCAAAATCAGGTAATGTTAGAGGTTCCACTTTTTAAAACTAAGTCACCAACTCCCTATAAAAAGAACATTTCTTAAATTTATAAAAAGCCTGAAAGAAAATGTAAAACACAAAGCTAATAACTAGTCTAGACTCTACTGCTGGACTGGGCTAACTCATTAACCAAGATACAAAAGATAGGGCCCTGACAATGGTTACTCTGGGGAGCCTCAGGTATAAACCCTGCTGAGCTCTGACAAATTCCGTTGATCTGGTTAGGTCCCTGCCTCTAACTCTTTTCACTACCATCTCACAGAACTTTATTGCTCCATTGCTCTTCTGTTCTAAGTCATTAAGAGTAAATATAAAGGGACATGAGGCACTTCTGACTAAAACCAACTAGTTAAAGGTAGTAAAATCTAAAATAAAATCCATTTCTTCTAACCCATGGGTATGTCTCTCAACATACACAAAAAGTTATTTTGAATTGGGCAAGTTTGACCCAATCTCCTAGTATCTATCTTTAATACAACAGTTCTCAAACTTGAGTGAGCGTAAGAATCACAAAGGGAGTCACTTTAAAATCCCCTTCCCCCATGTCTTTGGGCAAAAGAATCTACATTTTTAACAGACATCCCAGATGACTGATGAGTCGTGTACAATCACTTTTAAAAACAGCTGCTGCTCTATCACTACTTACCAAATAGCCTCTGCACTCAAAAGTGGTTTGTTTTATAACACAGAAATGTTCACACTGTAACAAATTGGATTTTGTGAAGTGAATTCTATTTTCCCACAAGTAGACTTTAACATTTTAAATATACATTATTCATTTTGAAGGCTGGGAGTGATTTCTTATACTTTCTTCTACAGGCCACATTCCGTACCTTTCCCTTCCTCGTCTTCACCTCAGTGGTTAAAGATTTAGAATTTAGAAATCCTTTAAAAGAGCATTTTTCACCCCAATTTATCTTTTTTATTCATCAGGAAAGCCAGTATTTGAAAAGTTGACTTGTAAACCTTACTTCTGAAATCAAACCTTGAACATGCTTAATATCTCTTTAGGAAACAAAATTTTTGTACCAAAAAGTTCCACATTTAAGGAAAATGCTGCTATTAAATAATGCTTAGATACAAAGTACTAAGAAGCAGCGAGAATTTTACTATTTTTCAGAAAAAGAATAAACTTTTTTTAAGTACCTATGGAGGATCATCACCAAGTAAGAAATGTCACTTCTAGTAACGTACTTGGGCACAGTAAACACAGTGCCAGAGTGAAGCCTGGTGAAGTGAATTCTATGCTCAGTTTTGCCACAAAAGAGCCCTGTGACCTTGGGAAACAACCTCTCTGGATCTAAGTTTAATTTATAAAATAAGATAGTTAAATAAAAGTAACATTTTGATTCCAGCAGCTTAATTCACTGGGAGGTATTTATATCAAAAAGCATTTGAGGTATGTAACACCTCTAACGTGCTTGAATCAAATGACATAATTAAAACTGAACTGGAAACTTGATATTGTGAATAACTTACTGAGGCTGTTCTTGTAGCTATCAATTACATATCATTGTACTTTGCTTCTTCGAAAAAGCTGAATACTTTGAACGTCTAAATGTTCATATATTGAGTTTTCTTAAAGTCAGGTACGTATGTACCATAGTCCAGGTTTGTAAAAGGAAAGAATGTATCTTTTCAGTCCTTTTTCCCAACCCATTGTCATTTCTCATTGTCACTGAGAAAAAAACACCTTGAAGTCTTAAACACTAAAAGCAACAGTGTTGCAGTAATTACACCACAAAAATAACATTTCTTTTTTAATGAATACTCAGTCTCCTGAGATTACAGTTACCTTCCGGTAACCAACTTTCTTCTGTCTGCTCTCAGTCGTTAGCGCAAACATTTTCAATTTTAACCCATATTCAGTTCACAAATCATACTTATTTCCAACGGAATATACTGAGTCCAAAAAAAAATTCCCCAATAGTCCAACAGGAAGCAACACATGCATTTGGCAATTCCAAGGAGGCTGGGGATGCAGATACCTCGTTCAAAATAAATAAACTTTCCAAGGACCTTTATTTACCGACGGGAAAGGGAGGTTTGAAAACAACCGGTTAACTTCACTCCCAAGTTGGCATCTTAAAGAACCGTTGAGCGTTTGCAAAACACCCAGGACCTCTGAGCCTCCCAGCTGAGAATTGGCCAAGGGAGCACACGCCCATCGGCCGTGCCTGGAGAGGAAACAATGGGAGAGGCGCGAGGGAGCGAGCCGGCGCCCCGGGCGCCCCAACTCTGCGGCCCCGGCCCGCTCCGACCCCACGCGCCGCGCCCCCTCCCCGGGCGCCCAGACCCCCCAGGTCCCCGCCCGCCAGCCCCGGGAAGCGGCCCACCTGCGGCGGCGCGGGGAGACAGCTGCACTTACCAAACAGGGTCAGGGCCATTGTAAAGGCGCTCGCCGCCGCCCGCCGAGTCCACGCGTGCTCCTCCCAGTCGGGCTAGGGATCACCTCATCGACCCGCCGCACCCACACCTCGGAGGGAGTGGGGTGCCCGATGGTGCGTGCTGGGGGCGCCGGCGCCCGGGGAGGCTGCAGGCCGGGACGCGGGGGACCGCTGCAAGAAAAAGTTATTCATGCGTTATTGTCGGGCGCAACGGGCCCAGGGAGCCCCGCTAGCTCTCCTCGAGCCGGCACTTGTCGCTGCTATCAGGCGCGGAGCGTGCGCGCGGGAGGAGGTACCTGCGAGGCGGGAGGCTTGGCCGCGGCGCAGTGGCAGGCGGAGAGGCGGCGCCGCAGTGGCGGCGGCGGCGGCGGCGGCGACGGGGAGAGCAGCAGCCTCGCACAGCCCCCGGCGGGGCGCGCTCACTCCGCATCCCGCGGCCTCGCCGACGCCATCTTGCGATAGCGTCTCCCACGAGCTTGGCCGCGCCGCCGCCTCCCGCCTCTCCCTCGGGCTTCCCGGCCCAGTGCGTTCCCATGGCAACGGGCGCGCGCGGGGGCGCGGGGGTGCGCCCTCATTCACGCGGCGGCGAGGAGCCGCCCGCACCCCCCTAGAGGCGGCCGCCGGGAGCGGGGATGGAGCGGGGCCGGTGTGCGTTTTAGCTGAAAGCCCAGGTTTTTTCTTGAATGGAATTTGAGGAGGCGCAGAGAGGAGAAAAACGGTGTTACTGGAAAGAGGAAGAGTCACAGGAGGATGCTGCGTGAATACAGCGTCCGGGCAGGGTCATCTGGGGACCTGGTGCGTGTGAGGACATATTTCTCCTTCTGGCGCCCTCCAAGTTCACTGAGGCTGGAGCCAGTGACCTGAAGATGCAGGGCTCTGGAAGGAACAGAGGCACTGAATGCTGCTTTCCTCTCCGTTTGGACTTAGGAGCCGCTAGGAGTAATTCTGATCAAATTGTCACACTTTAGGAAACAGGAGTCGCTTAAAAAGCATCTGAGATTACCTCAGATAATTTGTTAAAATTACCTTACACCTGATTTTTTTCCCTTTACATTATACCTCTTTGATATTGTCTCAAGGGAAAAAAAATATCAGCATGTGTCACTGACTGGCACTTATTTGCCACAAAAGATTGTTCCCCTGAGCTTCTTGTATTTATCTGATAATCACTGGCAACGTCCTCCTTTCTGTGATGTTCTCTCCTCACCTGTCTCTGCCATGAGGAGCCATACAACGCCTTGAGATTGTCAGCCAAAAGATGTTCTTGAAAAGCTGGGTTATGATGTTTTCCGTCGTTGTCGTTTAATGTATTCAAAAAGTCATTCTTCTCTAGTTGCTATATGTGTGCCCTGTTTAAGAAATTCCTTCTTTTTCCTTGTTTCTCTGCTTAGGGATTTGGTACTATTTTGGTATCTGATCATGTAGATCTTCTCTTTGGTTCTCCTTTCTTTCTACAGGCGTCTTTGCTCTTAGTTCCTCAGGTTCCCTGGTGTCATTTCCCTCTTCTCTTCGATTTTCAAATAATTATTTAAGAATATTATAGAAAGATCTTGTATTTAATGTATCTTAGAGACCGAATCGTGATGAAGTGGGGGATTACTACAGTACTTCCAATGGAACCACAGTTAATTCACCATCATTATTTCACAACTGACTTAAGCATCAGAAGAAAAGCAGGTTGGAAGGAGGAGCCAAGCCTTTTGTTTCAAGTCAGTTAACTCAGAAAGAAAGAAATATTAAAATGATTCAACATGAATGGGCAAGTGTTTAAGATGCTATATGCTTGGAATTTTGTGATGTAAAATGGCTCTCTTTGGCCACTAATCAAAATAAATCTTTAAAATCCCCAGAATTTAAAATCTTTCATGAAAATGGGCTCTTGATTTTGAACAACCTTTCTGCTCATGAAAAATTACAAACACACAGCTCATAAAGATAAATGAGAAACTCACGAAAGCTTTGTGGGATAGATTTTATAACAATATAAAGATTGCTGCTAATCTACTTTGCAGCCAAATAAATCAGAAACTGAAGACTCCGTTTACTGTTTCAACCAGTGGTCTTCAACATTTTTGGACCTAATTTCCTTTTGAGGCTCTCATGAAAATACTGTTCCTCCTCTTAGAAAAGTGCTTGCATACATACACACATTCACCGGAAATTTTTCACATAATTTCAAGGGGATTATGGGCTCTTCAGGGACCTTAGGTTATCCCCTGGAAGTGTTTTTTGTAATCTCAGAAAGCTTTTGCCCTTATAATTTAAAAGAAAATATTTTCCTTCAGAATAGAACCATTGAATTTTGAATAGGAAAAGACCAAAACTCCCATGATTTACAGATAAGAAAATTGAGTTCCCCATTGTTAAAAGATTTTCGCAAATGTGTTCACCTATTTAGTAGCAGAACCAATGGGAAAATAGGTTCTGGTGTTCTCACCGACCACCTTCCCTACCCCCATCCCGCGTCAATTTAGACGTTGCATGGTTTGAATTTCAAAAGAAAAATCTGTTTAGTATTAGAAACAAAATAACAAGAGTATTTTGTCCTTAGCCATTTTGCATAGGGTTTGGGAAGTTGCGTTTCGTCTCAAAGAGTTTTTATTAACATGCCCTTCTACTAAGAACTATGTGTACAATCATGCTAAAAGAGAAACAATGCCTTTCTCACTTTGTTGAGCTCTGTTAGAGCATCAGGGTTTTGGTGCTGCAGCTGGGCTTGCTAGTAGCTCTCTCCATCCCTTGCGAGGTTGTCCTGGGAGTGAGACAGGGAAATGAGCTTCCATATGCTCAGATTTACCCTCCCATCATACAGCCAGCCTTCGGTTACTGGACCAGCTTTCCTCTCACTAGTCTGGCCAAGTACAGCTGAATCCTAGTGACACCCTGCTTAAACTCAAGTGAAGATCCTTTTCCTCTCCCCTTTCTACTCACACACCCACATACACACACACACACACACCCCTGTTTTTAAGGTACACTTTGGAACAAAACAGTGTGAATGTTGCTATGTTTCCCTTTAAAGCATCCTGCTTTCCACAAGCCATTCCTTTCAACTGACTTCCAAATGGTTTGATGCTCTAACAAAATGCTCTCTATACTTGATCAAAGTGCCTGTCTGGGAAATAGTATTGGCTTTTAGAATAGTGTATTTTTTTCACCAGGCGTGGTGGCTCAAGCCTATAATCCCAGCACTTTCGGAGGCCAAGGTGAGTGGATCACGAGGTCAGGAGTTCGAGACTCAGCCTGGCCAACATGGTGAAACCCCATCTCTACTAAAAATACAAAAAAATTAGCCTGACATGTTGGCGCCTGCCTGTAATCCCAGCTGCTTGGGAGGCTGGGGCAGGAGAATCGCTTGAACCCAGGAGGCGGCGGTTGCTGTGAGCCAAGATCGCCCCACTGCACTCCAGAGCTTGGGCAACAGAGCGAGACTCCGTCTAAAATAGCGTATTTTTTTCAATGAGCTATTCCTATTCTATTGCATGTGCTTCTTTTCTCACTTAGCTGAAAATAAAGCCACAGCCTTTCAGCTACAGATTCAATGCAAGGAAGGGCGTTAACTACTTGGAGGTGATTATTACGGGTGGTGACTTAGATTGTTTATAAAAGGAAGGCAAAGAATGAATTGACTTCTCAAACTATTTATGTTTTCATTCAACGATTTCATTTTGTGCTTAACATGTAAGTGCTTAGAAGAGCCAGATTTGTTTACTCGTTACTAACTAGCTGTCAGATTTTTAGACAAATGTTTTACTCTTTCTAGTTCTTATCTTTCTCCTTTGTAAAATGAAAGGATAGTACTAAGTTATCTCTAATATCCCTTTTAGGTTTATCTGTCATTCTGTGATATTTTAAAATCTTTAAATTAACTGGTTTATCGATAAAACAGGATATTTTTATTTGAATCTTCAATATATTTAAAGTACTGTTATATCTAAAGTTCATACATACCTAATGTAATAAAGAAGTCATATTTTATTAAACCACTGGTACTGCTATTTCTTCTGCAGTGTGTTGTACTAATAATGTTACATTAATCATGTAGAAAGCAACCTTTTTCTGGTTTAACGGGATTAAAATTAAAAGTGTGCGCCAAACAACCCATTTCAAATTTACTAAAACAATTTCTCATTTTTATTTAAGTTTTGTTGACTAAACAGAACCTAGACAACCCTTTAAAATGGTTTTCCTACATTTTAAACTAATGACTTATCACAAGTGTTTTGAGTTTTCTTTTTGTTACCTATTTAGCTTCATTCCCATTGGTAAACATTGATTTGTTCCTCATTTTGAATGAAGCAGAAATTAACGAGGCGGTTTCTGCCTCACAATAACAAGTTAAAATTATAGCACTTTATCATGTCAGCACAGCTTTAAACACTAGGAATACCAGTGCCATTAGCACAGTTCCCAAAATAGTGCAGAAGTTTGCTAGTGAAGAGAAAAATTACACAGTATATTTCTGCTAAAGAATAAGAAAATTAAAATTATTTATTTAGATATTCACAATATGTGACATTCTCTCTATCCCATATTTATGTTGCTAGTGAAAGTGTTTGTTTCCATTATGTGAATTTGTTTAAAGTGGATTTGTTTTTGGTTTTGTGTTTGTTTTGAGACAAGGTCTCACTCTGTCACCCAGGCTGGAATGCATTGTTGCGATCTCAGGTCCCTGGAGCCTTGACTTCGCCTGTTCCAGTGATCCTCCTACCCCAGCCTCTGGAGTAGCTGGAACCACAGGTGCATGCCACCACACCTGGCTAATTTTTGTATTTTTAGTAGAGACAGGGTTTTGCCATGTTGATCAGGCTGGTCTCGAACTCCTGAGTTCAAGCAATCCACTCCTCTCAGCCTCCCAAAGTGCTGTGATTGCAGGTGTGAGCCACTGTATTGGGCTATTTGGTCTGTTAGGTGTTTTTTGTTTTTTTTTTTTTAGACAGAGTTTCACTCTATCACCCAGGCTGGAGTGTAGTGATGCAATCTCGGAGCTGACTGCAGTCTCTGCCTCCCAGGTTCAAGTGATTCTCCTGCCTCAGCCTTCTGAATAGCTGGGATTACAGGCATGAGCCACCACACCTGGTTAACTTTTTGTATTTTTAGTAGAGATCGGTTTCACCATGTTGACCAGGTTGGTCTTGAACTCCTGACCTCAAGTGATCCACCTGCCTTGGCCTCCCAAAGTGCTGGAATTACAGATGTGAACCACCACGCCCAGACTATTTGGCTTGTTTTTAACAACGTTTTCCTTAAACACTTAATTCCGATGATTTTTTATCCCCCTTCTTGTTTCTTATCTCAGACTTTCTGAATTAATACCTTACCTGTAATTTGTGTGGCATTCCATGATTTACAAATAGCACTTTCACAGGACAAAGCCATATGCATACAAGTAACTAAGGCAGCGCTTGCCTCAAACATAAAGATTTCTCCATCCAAAATTTATGTTGCTAGTGAAAGTGTTTGTTTCCATTATGTGAATTTGTTTAAAGTGGATTTGTTTTTGGTTTTGTGTTTGTTTTGAGACAAGGTCTCACTCTGTCACCCAGGCTGGAATGCATTGTTGCGATCTCAGGTCCCTGGAGCCTTGACTTCGCCTGTTCCAGTGATCCTCCTACCCCAGCCTCTGGAGTAGC